TGGTTCAATCTTCTACAAGAAGCATAAGTGGGATTGTTGTGGACCAAGTTAAAAAGGGAGATAATCGGTCGTTATGGTGGTCGTACTAGCGATAATCCTTTCGAGGAGTTGAAAGATTTGTCGCATACGGGTAAAGTAGATGAGTACTTGGCAGAGTTTGAGTACATCTCGTCTCAAGTATCTTGTTTATCGGAGGAGCAATATCTTGGCTATTTTATTGGAGGATTGAGATCGGAGATTCGGCGGAGGGTTCGCACCTTCAACCCTGTGAATCGTCTCCAAGCCATGTGCTTGGCTCGAGATGTGGAAGCAAAATTACAAGGAGAGGGATTTTAGCGTGGAGGAGGAGTATGGGGTTGGAAAAGCAATCGAGATTGAGGTACGGGTCAGGGAGACAAATTTGGATCAGGGTCGGGTCAAGGCCCAAATTTAGGAAGATTAGGAATTAGATTAGGCCCAACAGAGGGCACCCAAACTAAACCCTTATCGGTAGGAAGTTTGAGCCCTCATGAGTGACGCTCGGTGACACAACAAAGCAGTCGCGTGTCCGGAGATCATTCTCCAACTGCCGATCGGAATCGCGGCACAAAGCATTTGCCTTACTCTGAATTGATGAACAGGAAAGCTTGAGGGCTTTGTTTTAGATGCGGTGAAAAATATCATTCCTTGCATCGATTTACTGAGCGACAACTAAGAATTGTGGTGTTAGCTGACGAGGAAACAGTAAATGAAGCGGGGGAGGTTATCGAGAGTGAGATGCAAGAAGAGGAAGATGATCGTACCTTGGAGTGTGGTTCGATGGAGCTGTTCGCAAAGGTTGAAGTGTCATGGGGTGGTCGAAATCGCCCTTCAACTCTGCCCATAAAGGGTCGTCTCAATGGAGTAACCTCGGGAGTGTTGATTGATAGTGGGGCTAGTCATAATTTCATCTCTCCTCATGTAGTGGCTGCTCTAGGGTTGAAAGTGGACAAAATAAAATTGGTTGGGGTGTGTCTAGGATATGGGCATAGGGTGTCTACTGCGGGGAAATGTGAGAAGTTGGACGTTCAATTAGGAGAATTCTCTACTACAGTGGAGCCATATGTGTTGAAGTTGGAAGACATAGACATGATTTTAGGAGTTTCTTGGTTGCGAAGATTTGGGAAGGTTACTTTTGATTGGGAAGAGATGACTCTAAGTTTTCTTTGGCAAGACAAATATCTAGAACCACGAGGTCAGAAACTGAAAAAATATGAAGCAATGTCTCCAACAGGATTACTTTAGCCCTTGCCTATTCCAGATAAAATTTGGGAAGATATTTCTTTAAACTTCATTACGGGTTTACCAAAATCGAAAGGGTTTCAAGCTATATTTGTAGTGGTGGATCGGTTGTCTAAATATGGCCATTTTATTTTGCGAAAACATCCTTACACTATAAGGAAGATTACTGAATTGATTGCTAAGGAAATTGAATTATTTCGGTTATAGGAAACAACTCTAAACTGAGTTCTTCTTATCATCCTAAGCCAGATGGTCAAACGGAAGTGGTAAACCGATGTTTAGAAGCTTATTTACGATTTTTTGTGTCAGAACAACTCAAGAGTTGGTCATATTGGGTACCTTGGGTAGAATTATTATATAATACTATTTTTCACGGATTGACAGGAAAGACTAATTTTGTAATCGTTTATGGGAGAACACCACCTACACTAGTGTGCTTTACACAAGGAGAAACGTGTGTGGAAGTTTTAGCCACTAACTTGGGAGATAGAGATGAAGCTATTCGACAATTGAAATATCACTTGTTGCGAGCTCAACAACAAAAGAAGAAATTTGTAGACAAAAAATGTAGATTCATGTAGTTGGAGGTAGGATAGTGGGTATTTATCAAATATGCAGACAAAAATGTAGATTCATACAATCGACGTATTAATCAGAAGTGGGCACATCGGTATTACGGGTTTTTTTTTGTAGTGGCAGAAATTGGAGAGGTGTCTTATAAGGTGTAGTTGCCGGAATCAGCCAAAGTACATCCAGTTTATCACTTTTCTCAACTGAAAAAGGCTATTGGAAACTATGCAGTAGAACCGACTTTATGAACAAAGTTGAGTCCTGAGGACAAAGATAAGGAAGAGCATGAGGTAGTGTTAGCAGCCAGGGAGATTCCAAAGGGTGGTAACATCATCAAGCAATGTCTGGTGGAATGGAAGGAAAGAACAGAGGAAGAGACAACTTGGGAAGATGAGGTGCTACTACAAAGTCAATTTCCTTCTTTCAGCCTTGAGGACAAGGCTGTTGTTGCAAAAGGGAGTAATGATAGGACTTCTAATAAGGATGATTGTCGCAATCGAGATCGTGACGGGATGGCGAGCCGAAAAACAAACGGGTTTGAGAAAAAGATTCGTGGAGTCGCCACCATAATTTATTATGGAAAAACTATGGAAAACCAAAAAGTAAGACATGGTCTGCGAAAAGAGATTTTCAGGTTCGGGAATCGGTTACGCGTAAGGAAGGTGTTAGCACCCTATCGCGCCTGCCCAAAGGCAGTACCTTTAATTAAATGTATAAAGATTGAAGTGGTTTTTTTAATTTTTAATTTTCCCTAAAAAAAATAATATAAATAAACTATTAAGAGACAAAAATATATTTTTTGTTTTATGAACCCGACAAGAATTGATCTTGGTCCTACGTACATCCATTTAATGGACAATCAGGGATTACGTAGTTCTTTATGTAGAAAAAGGTTTGTGAGTTTGTGTAAAAAAATATTATAGATTTATTTGGATTTTTGAAGAGTGAACCCGAAAAAAAGATTTGGTTTAACAAGATTGATATTTTTTATTTTAAAGATTTTTGTATTTTTTTTTTATTTTTAAGAACGGTGGGAAAGAGGAAAGAAGCCAACCATAGGTCTACGCGTACTTATATTTCAAAAATCATGATTTTTAAAAGAACGTCATTTGTATATAAAAAAAATAAAACCTTTAGAAAAAACCTTCAAATTGCAACAAAAAGAAAAAAAAGAGGGTGTGAAGATGACGTACCTTTTCAGCTTTCAATACTCTCTAATTCTTCCTTGGTAATTTCTGTTGGCAGAGTTCCTCTAGCGTGATAAATTACTTTTCTCTATACTCTCTTATACCTTTTCTATCTCCATTATTCCATAGTGTCTCTCTCTATTTTTTTTTTCTTCTTCTTCTCCCCCTTTTTTCTATGGCAGAGTGTGTATTTATTCGCCACAAATCGTAATAATTATGGAAACCTGCCTTAATTGTGAATTATTCACAATAACACAAAATAGGGAAATAATTGCCATGTTGCTATAAAACAAATTAAATAATATTCAAAGCATGATTATCATTATTGTCAGAAAAATCAATAATTCCTCTTAAACAACTGATGACAACAAATTTGTTTAATAACTATTTTATTATTGTGCTTATAATTATTAGCAGAATTTCTTCAAATTATTACCATATTAAACCTAACAATTCAAAAATATTGTATTAAAGTCATTATTTTATCCTTTTTTACCCACCATTAATTATTATTATCTTATTTTTTTTATTATTTTTAAATATTTACTTACCCGGACGAAATTGGGTATTGACAATGATAAGGTGGGAAGTGCACATGGACCTGTTACTCAGTAAGGAAAATTTATAAAAGAAATAGATAGACCCAAAATATGGAATGTTTATGTAAGAAGAAAGAAAGTGGGGTTAGGAAAAGAAATAATGAGAAGTTAGTTAGGATAAGGAATGACGTGTCAAGAATCCAGGATGATAAATTCTGTTATAGGAGAGAGAAAGGAGAGTGTGAAGGGGGTACCCTGAGAAAGTGGTGAGTTGGTTAGGAGGAGAGTCATCCTCTCGAAGAGTCTAGTGCTCTGGTTTTTCCTTGTTACTGTAGAGCTACCAGCTCAATAACTTTTACTGCATAATCTTCTCGATGATACAAACTTGATATTAAGTTATTTCTTAGTTCTTATCAGGTAATTTTTGTCCTATGCAGCAGAGGTGCAAACAATTTCGCAAGAACCGGCTCGAGGTATAACACCTAAAGCTATGCAGGCTTTTAAAAAAGCCATGCATGAAGTACACAATGAATAAGTGAAGAGTGATCCTGTTCCTTGCAAATTCGAGGCACCAACGAGTTAAATGTGGTCCAGAAAAGCTCCTTTTGATGTCGGCAGGTCTTCAACAGAACTGTTTAGGTCTCAACGTATTCAGTTAGCCTTGAGTGTAATCAGTCACTGCAACTGACTTTTCATTTCTAGGTTTGGTTTACTGCTATCTGGTGTGTGGAATTTTTTTCAAGGTTGGTTGACTCTGCTGTGTCTTTTTTGTATGGGGATTTTTTGGTGATGCAGTGGTTACCAAGTATTTGTATTCCTTAAATGCAAATAGAAAATAGCCACTTTATTTATCTGGCTTTGCTTTGTCTCTACAGGTTGGGATACCCAAGTCTCTCTCTTATATAATTCTTTCTTGCTGACAAAATAAATAACTTCGTCCTTTTAGTACTTAACCTGCGTGTGACGTCGTTTTTTAAATTTAATTAGAGAACCATATGCGTTAAATTCAATGGTCTTGAACTTTGCAGACGATCATCGGACAGGGGCAAGAATCCATAAACAGTTTGCACCCTTTTCCTGTGACAGATACAATATAATCAAATTAACATGGATTTATTCGATTGTACAATAGCAAAGACAGTGTGACAAAAAGTCACTAAAGACCAGATTTCGATGTCAAATTGTTCGTGTAAACCTAAACTGAGGTGTTTTTACTTTTGATTTCAAGAAACTTTTCATGTTTCCTCCTCCCCTAAATCGGAAAGCAAAGGACAGGCACTAAACTTTAGAACCTCACATGCCTACTTATTCCCTTTTAAGCACACTTTCACAGTTACTGAACCCAATTACAGGGCCGAAAACAAAAAAAAAAAAAGAAACTCATGGCACTACTCATAACTGCTGAAACAATAATCAAATACAATAATTGTATCTTATATATTTTTTAAAACTCAACACCGAACCTCTAATTAACCTAAACCAGAGTTAGTTCTTGACACAGGCCTCGACAACGAATGATTAGGAGCAGGCTGCACATTACTAGGGCCATTGAACATCGAATTTGAAGAAACAGCCTGTGATTGTTGTATCATAGATAGGGGCAACCTTTGCCCTAATCCAAACATTGAAGGCCGCGGGACAAAGGACATGTGTGGATGAACTGGTTGGCTGTTGCCATACCCTGAGATGCTAGGCTGTGAGGAAGAAGCAGAAATCATTTGCTGCCTACTGTTGTTATTATTATTAATCATGGAAGGACCAACACCTGATACATTCATTGGAGGAGTGGTTCCACCGTTTCCAAGCCGTGCTGAAACACCTGGGGGACCGTTCATGGAGCCAACCCTCACCCATCTTCTCACTTGTTCACATTCTTTCATCAACTGTGTTTCAATTTCTGCAAACTGCTTCAGCTTCAGTTCCAATCTTTTCAACTGCCAATACACATAACACGTTATACACACCAAAACACTAGCACAGGCCGCTTTTAAATTTTCCCAAATTGTTTTCATTCACCTATACTGCAAGAAAAATATTTAACTAGTGCATACACATACATATATATGCACCCAGATTGAAAACGGTGGACACATGGATAAAGTATGTAGCCAGTTAGGCTGAAGCAATTAAGTTAAGAAATAAAAATGAAGCAGTTATACCTTAGTATTAACAATATTAGCACATAGCCTCTGAATTTCTCGCTCTTCATGATCAGCAAACAATTTAGCTTTCATTGCTGCAGCAGAGAGGCCTGCTTTGGCAGCATCTTTGACTTTCTCAGCAGACAGCAGGGTCGACCCAGCATCATCTTGAGCACATGAACCAGGTACTTTTAACTTGTCCTCTGAATTCAAATGAAGAATCACTTCTCAAAAAGAAGTACACGCTGGGTATTACCACTTCACNGGTCTACGCGTACTTATATTTCAAAAATCATGATTTTTAAAAGAACGTCATTTGTATATAAAAAAAATAAAACCTTTAGAAAAAACCTTCAAATTGCAACAAAAAGAAAAAAAAGAGGGTGTGAAGATGACGTACCTTTTCAGCTTTCAATACTCTCTAATTCTTCCTTGGTAATTTCTGTTGGCAGAGTTCCTCTAGCGTGATAAATTACTTTTCTCTATACTCTCTTATACCTTTTCTATCTCCATTATTCCATAGTGTCTCTCTCTATTTTTTTTTTCTTCTTCTTCTCCCCCTTTTTTCTATGGCAGAGTGTGTATTTATATACACACATCGTAATATTATGGAAACCTTGCCTTAATTGTGAATTAATTCACAATAAAACAAAATAGGGAAATAATTGCCATGGTTGCTAGAAAACAAATTAAATAATATTCAAAGCATTGATTATCATTATTGTCAGAAAATCATAATTTCCTCTTAAAAAGCAACTGATGCAACAAATTATGTTAATATACTATTTTAATTATTGCTTATAATTATTAGCAGAATATTAATTCAAATTATTACCATATTAAACTAACAATTCAAAAATATTGTATTAAAGTCATTATTTTATCCTTTTTTACCCACCATTAATTATTATTATCTTATTTTTTTTATTATTTTTAAATATTTACTTACCCGGACGAAATTGGGTATTGACAATGATAAGGTGGGAAGTGCACATGGACCTGTTACTCAGTAAGGAAAATTTATAAAAGAAATAGATAGACCCAAAATATGGAATGTTTATGTAAGAAGAAAGAAAGTGGGGTTAGGAAAAGAAATAATGAGAAGTTAGTTAGGATAAGGAATGACGTGTCAAGAATCCAGGATGATAAATTCTGTTATAGGAGAGAGAAAGGAGAGTGTGAAGGGGGTACCCTGAGAAAGTGGTGAGTTGGTTAGGAGGAGAGTCATCCTCTCGAAGAGTCTAGTGCTCTGGTTTTTCCTTGTTACTGTAGAGCTACCAGCTCAATAACTTTTACTGCATAATCTTCTCGATGATACAAACTTGATATTAAGTTATTTCTTAGTTCTTATCAGGTAATTTTTGTCCTATGCAGCAGAGGTGCAAACAATTTCGCAAGAACCGGCTCGAGGTATACACCTAAAGCTATGCAGGCTTTTAAGAAAAGCCATGCATGAAGTACACATGAATAAGTGAAGAGTGATCCTGTTCCTGCAAATTCGAGGCACCAACAGTTAATGTTGGTCCGAGAAATCTCCTTTTGAAGTCTGCAGGTCTTCAACAGAAACTGTTTAGGTTCTCAACGTATTCAGTTGAGCCTTGAGTGTAATCAGTCACTGCAACTGACTTTTCATTTCTAGGTTTGGTTTACTGCTATCTGGTGTGTGGAATTTTTTTCAAGGTTTGGTTGACTGCTGTGTCTTTTTTGTATGGGGATTTTTTGGTGATGCAGTGGTTACCAAGTATTTGAATTCCTTAAATGCAAATAGAAAATAGCCACTTTCTTTATCTGGCTTTGCTTTGTCTCTACAGGTTGGGATACCCAAGTCTCTCTCTTATATAATTCTTTCTTGCTGACAAAATAAATAACTTCGTCCTTTTAGTACTTAACCTGCGTGTGACGTCGTTTTTTAAATTTAATTAGAGAACCATATGCGTTAAATTCAATGGTCTTGAACCATAAACAGTTTGCACCATTTTCCTGTGACAGATACAGTATAATCAAATTAACATGGATTTATTCGATTGTACAATAGCAAAGACAGTGTGACAAAAAGTCACTAAAGACCAAATTTCGATGTCAATTGTTCGTGTAAACTAACTGAGGTGTTTTTACTTTGATGTCAATAAACTTTTCATGTTTCCCTAAATCGGAAAGCAAAAGGACAGGCACTATAACTTTAGGAAAATCAAATGCCTACTTATTCCCTTTTAAGCAACACTTTCACAGTTTACTGAAACCAATTACAGGGCCTAAAACAAAAAAAAAAAAGAAACTCATGGCACTACTCATAACTGCTGAAAACAATAATCAAATACAATAATTGTATCTTATGTATTTTAAAACTAACACCGAACCTCTAATTAACCTAAACCAGAGTTAGTTCTTGACACAGGCCTCGACAACGAATGATTAGGAGCAGGCTGCACATTACTAGGGCCATTGAACATCGAATTTGAAGAAACAGCCTGTGATTGTTGTATCATAGATAGGGGCAACCTTTGCCCTAATCCAAACATTGAAGGCCGCGGGACAAAGGACATGTGTGGATGAACTGGTTGGCTGTTGCCATACCCTGAGATGCTAGGCTGTGAGGAAGAAGCAGAAATCATTTGCTGCCTACTGTTGTTATTATTATTAATCATGGAAGGACCAACACCTGATACATTCATTGGAGGAGTGGTTCCACCGTTTCCAAGACGAGCTGAAACAACATGGGACCGTTCAGAAGCAAACCTCAGCCTCAGATTCTCAACTTGTTCACATTCTTTCATCAACTGTGTTTCAATTTCTGCAAACTGCTTCAGCTTCAGTTCCAATCTTTTCAACTGCCAATACACATAACACGTTATACACACCAAAACACTAGCACAGGCCGCTTTTAAATTTTCCCAAATTGTTTTCATTCACCTATACTGCAAGAAAAATATTTAACTAGTGCATACACATACATATATATGCACCCAGATTGAAAACGGTGGACACATGGATAAAGTATGTAGCCAGTTAGGCTGAAGCAATTAAGTTAAGAAATAAAAATGAAGCAGTTATACCTTAGTATTAACAATATTAGCACATAGCCTCTGAATTTCTCGCTCTTCATGATCAGCAAACAATTTAGCTTTCATTGCTGCAGCAGAGAGGCCTGCTTTGGCAGCATCTTTGACTTTCTCAGCAGACAGCAGGGTCGACCCAGCATCATCTTGAGCACATGAACCAGGTACTTTTAACTTGTCCTCTGAATTCAAATGAAGAATCACTTCTCAAAAAGAATTACACGCTGGGTATTACCACTTCACCAGACAATGGGGGTATAAAGCAACCTTAAAATAACCATAAAAATGAAGCAACCATAAAACTAACCATTTTTCTGACTCGAGTTTGCAACCACTCCATGATGGCCACCAGCTCTATTATTTATGCTTTCTGAATTTGCCCTTCATAGAAGCAAATAAAAAATCCTAATTATATGAACAATAAAATAAGGCTGGCTCTTGGTGCAGGGGAAAATAAAATTATGGACAAAGAGAAATGAAAAGAACAATAGCAAATGACAATGTATCAGTGTACAAGTTATAAATGAAAAAGGAATAACTAGGAGAAAACACTTCAAACAAGAAATGAAAGTCACTGACACTCACCTGTTATCATTTTCCAGAGCTTCTATATCTGACGCGCTCCCTGAATTATTCTCTGACAATGCAGCTAATGCTGCGTGAGCACAAGTTGCAGCTACTCTTGGTCCAACAGCAGAGGCTAAAAAGGAAACCTTTACAATGCACCCACCAAAATCAAATACGTAAGAATCCAATCAAAAGAACTCCAGAATATAATGGACAGACTGATTTGTTGTGATATTCTGACACTATCATCACTAATTGAATCTTTGGGAAAGATTTTCTGGATGATTTTTTTTTTCTTTCAAAAACTGTTAAAGCTGTCAAAAACAATGATTTTACCCAAATAAACTGAATCAAACACACATTGAGATTTTCTCCTTCAAAGAGGTGAAATGCAACTAAACAAGTTAAAATGACAAGATATTAGATGCAGCACTGATAACCACCTCATTGTCTTCTAATTAAGCATAGTACATCCATTAATAAATGACAAACTGAAAAATATCATTTCCAGTCACATACCAGTGCCATAACTGGATTTCCAGAATTTGCAAAAGGAAGCCTGTTATCAGAATCTTGGTTGTTCTGTATGGGTCCTACAAGAACACGGATATGAAATCAAAACCATATCACAAGCAGAGGTTACAAAAGTTTCTGTTTTGGTAAGACAAACCTGCTGAATCCCCATTTGAGCAACAATGCAATCTTCCATTACCCTCTTGATTATTCATATTGGATGACAAGGAAATACTTGATACATTGATGTTTTCTAATTTTCCATCTTCTACAGGTAGACGGAGAAAATGAAGAATGCATTGCGCTTTTGACTTGGTACCAACATGCTCAGCAATTTCATTCCAATTCTCATTGTAAATCTCCACTGCTTCAAGCAGCAATAAAGTCTCTTGATCAGTCCAACTATCCCCATCTAGATCACCATAATCTGTACTTGAATCCACTGTAATGAAATCTATACTAGAATGACCGGCAACAAATCTCCCATCGTGAAAGCAATCAGTGCAGAGTAAAATATCAACCTGCAATATGGGAGGTCAACCACAAATAATGACAAATGTTTCCAAAGAGCTTCTACAGCTTAGTTTTGGACTTGGGTCATCATAATGTACCCATATTTGTAAACTTCTAGAAATATCAATGAGAGTAATCCTTCCTTGTAGCATAATGGAAACTTTTAAAATAACATAGTAGATAAACAAACACTGTCTATCTTATAGATTGGCAATCACTTGCCAACTGTCAGAGTTTGTCGTGGTTAAATGGAAGACTGGCCATTCAAATCTGAATTTTCAAGACATGAAGACAAGCTGCAGCACAAAGTGCAGTTTTAGCTTCAAATTAGTACGTTCAACTATAATTGACATGGAAAGATATGTTTAACATTTGTATTATAAGAATAGGATTGAAGCCACAATGAGTACAAACACAAAAGAAAACAAAATACATGAAGATTATTCCAACTGGTTCCCTTTAGCGGAGAGAAGCACACAGGAATTCAAGACACTAATCTATAATAAGGAGTGGGCTGGTACTCTAATTATGAAAAGAAGTCTACCAAAAAGGTATCCTGAGTAAATTTCTGGGAGTTGA